AATAAATACATATATAAAAATATGAACGTGTGTATTCATTGGGGGTATATCTACTAAACTGTGGGGGATGGAGGGATGGAAGAATGGAGTGGTCCTTTAACCAATTTTAACCTATCTTCTCACTTTACATTTTTCACGTGTGTGAGTGTTTTATCCCTATTTGGGAGTTAATAAAGCAGTGTATTACTATACAATGAGTCCTTCTTATTAGATTTCTTTATCTTTAGACTGGTGTTGAATGTTCATTGTTTTGTGGGTAATGCTATCTGTCTCAGGCTTTTTCATTTAAGGCTTGTTCCGATTTCTTTTTCTAATATTTATTTGAGGTTATGCCCCTTAATTACCCTGCAACTGATACGAGCTCAGTTAGGGTTTCCTCTCACAGAAATCGGTTTTTCTGTTACGAATAAAGTTGTCTATTCCTAACACTACAGTGTTCCTTTAAGCCCAAATAGATGATTGTGTTGATAATGAGTAGCTGCTTGGTAGATTTGCTATTACTGTAAATTCATTGTTGTCTTTAACTTTTTAAGAAAATCTACACAGCACACAGTGCACAACAGAGTGCTTGCACACATGTACAGCACAGACTGGACTGAAGACACTCCCAGAAAAAGAGTACTTTCTTTCTACCAACAGTTAACAAAAACTCGAAAGCATTGAATTAAACTCTGTGTCAGAGTCACTGGCTAGGCAGAGCAGTAACCTAACCACCAGTTTTGCACTAGGATCAATTAAAATATTATTAAACAGTATATTTATCCAAATCAAAATATCCGCAGGTGGCACTAAGCACTAACCAGCCTCCCTCTAGATTTAATGACCCAGGTTATCTATCTCCCACTCAAAGTAGGCAAAATTGATACTGTGCCACTGGCAGTGCCAAGGGACAGCAGTAATGTAACCACCAGTCTCACACTAGTATTAATGACCACGGCTACCTATCTCACACTCAAAGTTCATGTAAGTGGCACTGGCAAAAGCTAGGCAGGCACAACATTTAACCTAAACGTAACCAGTCTGACACTAGGATCAATGACACAGGTTCAATCACCCTACGATCAATGTCGTACTCCAACACAGACACAGCAAGGGTATAAGCAGGCAATTCTTGTCTGCTGGTCCGTCTCTCTCAATATCTATAGTTTCTGAAACAATACCGCTAGTAAATGTATATATATATATATTTTTGCTTCTCTTTTTCCCTTCTGTTAGTTACTTCTCATTTGATCTGGGAATACAATCAACATTTAGTGGATGACCCCTATAATCATTAGTCATATTTTGTACCACCTTTTTATTGGGCAGGAGGTTCAACCCCATTCGACAGGCACACACCTTGTCCACCATGGCAAGCTAAACTGAAAAAAAATCGTCTTCCTCTCCTTTCCATCCCATTTCCATCCCATCACCCTTTTTTTGATCATCTGCAGAGCCCCAAAGCATCCAAACATGTTTGGGCATTGCCCAGTCATTTGCTTGTTTTTACATCTGCAGGGTTCTTCAGAGACTTCAGCCAAACAGTCAATCATCCCAAATGCAGTCAAATCTCAATTTGTCCAAAACCAAATGCACAGGTCTACTGATCACTAGAATATCACCCACCCAGATTGGAGGCTACCAGATTGTGTATAGTCAATGTCTTAAAAGGGTATGATTTGAACAGAGAAGTCCTAAACAAATACATTGTAGACTTTGTTTGTGGTTATTTATCTATCCATCCATATCATTTCTGTTGCATATAAACATTTTTTTAATTTGGTCTGGATATCTTTGGTCAAAATCAACCTAGACTACATGTCTCATCTCTGGAACACCATCCACAGACAGGGAATTTTGTTGCACTAAGTTTACACCAAACTCTCTCTCTGTATTTTATAAAACATCCCATTGTGGTAGAATAGTTTAACCATAACTTTGTATGAGTTTTAACCAAAAGGACAATCAAACAACATAAACTATATTATTAATAATCCCAGCAATACGCCAGGAAGTATCAATCTATTATAAAACGTTATCTAATTTTTAGCTGAGTTAGAGATTGTGTTACTTTCCATCAAAATAGTAATTATTTCACGAAAGGCTGAGTAAGTGTTCCAAGGAATTAAACCTACAACACCGAAGCTTGGACAGATATTAGAGATCAAACCCTTATTAAACAAATTGGCTATCTTACCAACAGAAAACATTTAACTTCATTCTAATGCAATTTTGAATAAACTATTAATTTACTTTTTTTTTTTTTGTTGCACAGCGAGTGTGTGTTTAATGTCACTAAAGTCATGGATATCTCAGTACAATATAATAAAGATGTATATTACGATTTGTGTGTGACACTGTAGCTACCACTTCCCTTTTATTGTAAACAGTAAATCTTCCAGACAGCGGAATGTATTCTATAGGACATAAAACTGCCACATTGATACATATTGTACTGTGAATGTTGTTTAAGTTGTTGCCCATAGAGAAATGTAAAATCAATGTGCAGTAATATTTTATTACCTCTAGAAAACAGATAGTAAGGACTGGCCTTATGTAGTATGGAAGGTAAAAGATTATTGTTTCACAGAATGCATTATTCGCTACAGTTTGAAGTCTTATGGGAAATCATATAACAAGTGATAGGTCTGTTTGTGTAGTATTGAAATTATTAAATTCGGGCAAGAACCTGTTGTAATCTTTCTGCTGAAGTCTTGCATTACCGAATCAGGAGCATTCTCGCAGAATTCAATATCTACACTCACTGCCTGCTTTATATGTTAAAACAGTCTGTAAACAGTCATGAGTGTTGATCCCGATACACACACAGTTTCTCCCCAAACTCAACACACACAGCCTCCGACACATATACAACACACAGTCACCCTTCACACACAACATACAGAGTCAACCATACACACAACATTAACACAGTCATCCTATACATACCCAACACACAGCACCTCACACAACCTGTATACACTCAGCATCTCCACACACATAATAAAGACAGCTTTCACATACAACATACACACAAAAACACAAGACACAGTCATCCTGTACACAACCTCCCCACACACAACATGCACAGCCTTTAAACACAAAACAGATGCAACTGCCACACATATCACACACACCCTTTCAAAACACATACGGCCTCCCAACAAGATGCCTTCTCTGCATACACAAATTCTTGTTCTTTCTAATGTTTTTCCCGATGCAATCTTTAGTTCTTTTTCATCTTAAAAAATGGCTTGGCGTCATTTTACCATTTTAGTGACTGATATTCACCCGATCTCTACATATGTCGATTTAGCTTTATCTTTCTTTGTGTTGTAGATCCCTGTCTCATTTATATCATGACTTTCTAGTTTGTACCTACACCTTTATATTCTTATTCCTCTACGTAATCAACACATTGTAATCTGCATACTTTAAAGTTTAAAAACTGGGTGCTTCTCTTGTATATGTTAATATTATGGTTTGTTATACTATGCAAAACACTGTTTCTTTTGTGTTGTATTATTTTCAGTATGAAAAAAGAATTGCCTCTGTCTTTGGTAGCTGTCTAAAAACAAAGGGAGACATTAGAAGACAAATTTCACCTTTTGAGATTGTTCCGTATAATAATTGCTGTCTTTCAAATGAATGTAAGGCAAGAGGCAGAGTGAAGTAAAAAAAAAAAAAGTACACAATAACTTTAGTGACAAGACTGGCAGAATACATTAGACTTGAGGCCGTTTTACTAGAAAGCTCATTAGAGACTAAAGACAAAATGATAATTTGTCTGTTTTCATTGTCACAAAATTACTTTAGAGTTAATGATAGGTTGGTATTATGATTAGTGCTTGAGTAAATAAGTACTAAAGTCAGAGGTAGTTTGAGTACTTGAGTTTATTATTGTTGTTTTTTTTGTTTTTGTTTTCTCAAGTAATGCTTTTAAGGCTATAGAATTAGTACCATGGAAATGGATAGAGGTACAGGAATAACATTTTAAAATTTTACTATTGAAGTTTAAATAAAAAATGTTTAAAAAAATGTAATTCTGTTATAATTCAATAACACTGTTGTTATGGTGATTAGAGTCATTCCGTCATAATTAGTCAAATCATTTTTGAGTAGTTTGACAAAAACAGAGGCTCTTGCGACATCTGAAGCCGGGCCCTTCTATTGCAGTTTAAATAATGCAGACATTTCATTTCCTCATTATTTATACAAATTAGTTCAAATTTTGGCAGCAACAATATGCTGTGAGTACTTAGAGTTACATAGCTTCTTTATAGAGAGGAGGGGGAACAGGGCCTGAATATATATTAGGTTAAATTTAATGTTGCTTTGCAATGGAAAAACAAAGTTTAGGAGGGGGACGTGCCAAGCTGCCGAAGAAGATGGCTGTCTAATCTAACAGCTCCTCGTGGTCCCAGCGAAAAATTGCAATACTAGGCTCACCACACGCACCCAGCACCGATAATGGGGCGCAATAAGAAGCAGGCAGATCCCTCCGGTACTCCCAGACCATCGGGGTCCGGAATGGAACACTCCATCCGCTCATATCTCACCACACCACGGGATCTCGGGTCCCAGCCAGACACGGAGGCCCCAGACCGACCGCGGACTCGCCCTCGGCAACTCCCGCGCAATTCTCCCCCCGACACCATCCGACCCACCCGAAACCCATGGGACACTGGAGGGGGACCTCAGGGCCATACTACCCACCCTTCTGTCGAAGGCAGACCTCGGGGCGCTGTCAGACCGCCTCAGCCGGGTGATCCGCAACGAGCTGACCCAAGTGAAGGCGGATATAACCAGAATGGACACCAGGGTGACAGCTACAGAAGCAGAAACACGGGCCCTCCGCACGGAAACTGACGCTGCGGTCTCCACGATCACAGGCTGTGAAATGAGCCTGACCCATATCACCATATGGGTCGACGATCTAGACAACAGAACCTCAGGGTGCGAGGGGTGAGAGAGATGGGCCCCAATGAAAACATACCAGAGATCCTCCGCACAGTTTTCAGTCTCATCCTTGGGGGACAACAACCCAGAATAGGTCTCGTCCGAGCCCACCACGCACTCCGTGCAACCCCAGCGCCGGGGGATCAGCCACGTGATATCATCTGCTGCTTGGATAACTTTAACCTCAAGGAAGAGATTCTACGCAACGCCCGCCGAATTGGCCACATCAGGCTGGATGACCAAGTAGTGACGGTCTACCAAGACCTCTCCCGCTATACACTGCAAGCCAGGAAGACCCTCCGACCAGTAACAGCAGCACTCCAGGCAGCGGGTATCCCGTACCGCTGGGGATACCCCCTCTCCCTCTCCGCACGCAGGGTACAAGAGCTACACACCATCAAGACACCGGCAGATGTCCAGGGATTCCAACACGCTCTGGGGCTCCTGCCAGAGTGCAGAATTGGCTGACCCACCAATTCATACAGCAAGTGGCAGGCCCTCTACCACCACCGCCTGACAAATCCGCAAGCCGAGATCAGCACAGATACTCGGGGCGCCCAGGCCCGGCCAGGCCCGAAGAATAACAGCCGCAATGAGAGCCCAGCCAGAACGGAGGAACGGTGCAAGCAGCACCCCACGCCACACACTGCGCAACAGTGAGTAATGGCATTATATCCGATTGGGGGACCTTGGCTACCCGTCCACAGGGTCACGAAGAGGGGAGGGGGGGGGCTGCTTACAATGCGGGAGAGGAACGGGCACACTTATCGCCATTAAGAGCACAGACACATGCCACATTCTCAAGGCTGGACTACTTCCTACTGCCCTACCACAGCTTATCCCTCCTAGAAGAGGCAGAAATTCTACCGATGACCTGGTCGGACCACAACCCAGTCCGCATACGGCTACAATCCCCGCTTTTCAGACCCTGCCAAGTTTCCTGGAGACTCAACGAGTCCATCTTAACAGATCCCACACTGGTGTCGAGGACCATGCAGGTCATCCAGGACTACTTCAACACCAACGAAAACATACGAAAGCAGTGACGGATCTCAGCACGGACATAGCCCATCTGGAGAACCAACACAAACGGACACTGGATGCCTCAACCTATAGGGATCTTCTTCACAAACGCTCCCAACTCACCGAGCACATGAACCGCTCCATCCAACGATCCTTCCAGTACTTCTGACATCTGGTGCACGAACATGGGAATAAGTGCAGCAGGCTACTCGCAAATCTACTGAAGCGCCGCAGGAAACACCTCTACATTAACAAAATTAAAGACCCGTCCCAGCGGATGCACCACCTTCCAGACCAGATCTCCACCACATTCCTTAACTATTACCGAGATTTATACAACATACAGCACGAGTTTCAGGACACCGCAGAAGCTCACAGACACAATAACATCCACACATACCTGGCATCAGCAGGGCTACGCCAACTAACAGACCCGGACCGCGAACTGTTGGACGCACACATCGCCCCAGAGGAACTTTCGATTGCCATCAAAAAAGCGCAGACAGGCAAGTCACCAGGACCAGACAGCCTGCCGTTACAATACTATAAGACCTTCCAGTCCGAACTCCTCCCGAAACTACACAAAGCCCTGAACTCAATCCTTGAAGGAGCGACACCCTCAGCCCAATTCACGGCAGCAAACATCACACTCCTCCCAAAAGAAGGCAAAGACCCAACATACTGCCAGAGCTACCGTCCGATCTCGGTCCTAGATGTCGATATCAAGCTACTGGCCAGCGTGCTGGCCAACCGCCTGGCACCACTCCTGCCGGACCTGGTACATCCTGATCAGACATATGGGCGATGAACCTGATCTCCGTGGCATCACGATCCACACAACCATCTCTACTTCTGTCGACAGATGCCGAAAAGGCCTTCGACCGGGTAGACTGGAACTTCATTTCGAGACCCTCTGGACCATAGGTATCGGACCAAGATACATCCAATGGATGGAAGCGCTATACACCGATCCGACGGCGCGGCTCAGAATCAACGGGGCACTTACAGACCCGTTCCAAATCAGAAACGGGACACGCCAAGGCTGCCCCATTTTGCCAATACTATTTGCACTCACCCTAGAACCCTTCCTCAACAAAATCCGAAGCTACGAGGAGATCCGAGGATTACAAATAGGCTAAACACACCACAAAGTGTTGGCCTACGCAGACGACCTTCTTTTTCTAGTACAGGAACCCACCAGATCGCTACGGGCGATCAAAACAGAATTCAAGACCTATGGCCAGATATCCAATATGCGCATCAACGACACCAAATCGGAAATCATAGTCCTAACAATCCGATACTCGCAACAACTCGAACTTAGGCGGCGCTTCCCATACCGGTGGTGCACGACCAAGATGAGATACCTGGGGGTGTGGCTCACGCAAGACACAACGGACCTCTACACCCACAATTACCTACCGCTTCTGCAAACAGCGCAGGCTGAACTCCAAACATGGAGTACAACATACATCTCTTGGCTGGGACGCATAAACGAAGTGAAAATGACCCTGCTTCCCAAGTTCCTCTTTATCTTCCAAACAGTGCCCATAGAGGCACCAAAGTCATTCTTCACCACCATCCAAACTACAATCCGTAATTTCATTTGGAAAGGGAAGCCTCCTCGAATCGCCCACACTCAGCTGACTCTCCCCATCACTGCGGAAATATCACCTAGCGACACACCTCACTCGAATAATCAACTGGTCAGTAAAGACCAGAGACAAACCCTGGGTGCAACTAGAGGCAGACAGCACCAAATGCGACCTCACGACCCTCCCCTGGATCACGAAAGAAGCGAGCAAACAATTACAACACACCAACCCATTTGTGAAGGCCACCCTACGTATCTGGCACCAGAATGGCCCAAAACACTACCTTACGACCAACCCCAGCCCACTACTCCTCTTAAAAGGCAACCCGGACTTCCCGGCGGGCGACATGGGCCCTACCTCATGCCCAGCAAACTGTAACACAACGCTCAGAATGATAGATATCATCTCACCCCCATTCATAATCAGACCGATCAAGGCCATCTTCCCGGACCAGAGACACACATTCGCACACAAGCTGACGAGGGAATATATGTCCCACTATGCACATTCCATCCCCCAACGCCCCTACCGGACAAGAGATTGCACGGAGTTCGAAACCCTGTGCAGACAGGACGAAACCCCATCGAGAGCAATATCGCTGATCTACAAATCCCTAGTAACGAACCGATATCTCTTGGCCCCCCATGCATCAGACGATGGGAAGAGGACCTCGAAGAAGAACTTAACGACGCGGACTGGGACAAAATCATCCTGCACGTTCAAAAGACCCCGGGCTCAGCCAGACACCAGGAAAACTCATACAAAATCCTCACCAGATGGTATATCACCCCCGCCACCCTCCACGCACACAATAATTTAGTGCCGGCCACATGCTGGCGATGCGGAGAGGAGGACGGTACATTCCTCCACATCTGGTGGGGCTGTGCCCTCATCCAACCATTCTGAGAAGCGATACGCCAAGTCATCCACGCAGTGACCGACGACACTCCACCCATGTCACCAGCCTTCTTCCTTCTACACCACACAACAACACCCACTCCGACCTATAAAAAAATCGGTTGTGCCACGATTCCTCAATGCGGCGGCGAAAGCGACCATCCCCATATTTTGGAAACAACCATGTGCCCCCCCACTCAGACACTGGGTGGAGGAGGTGGAGGACACAAGAAAATTCGAGGACCTGAAAGCCACCACGGCAGCGGCAAAAGAAAAGCTCCTGACCAGATGGTTCCACTGGATACGACACATCACTACAGATGAGTTCTTACAATGCCTGAACCCACCCTACACCTAGGATGCGCAACTACAAGACAATCGGGCGCCTGCACCTGGGGCGACCCGTAGGCAGGTCACCCTCAACCACATCCCCCTCTCCTCCCCCCCAGCGTGTGCCAACCTCATACCATCCAATCACTGCCAGGAGGCAACAAGAACCACACTGAGGACCAGACCCCGTAAGGCAACAGCCCCCAATGCAGAATGTGGACCAACACAGACCTACCCAACACGAGACTCGGACCCACGCTCCACCGCCACATGATGACATGACCTCATGACCACACACTACCTCAGAGAAGGGGGCAACATGACATACTGCGACCAGCCCACTCAAGACGCCTACCTCCACACGCCCCCCAAACGCAACCGCTGGCGCTACCAAGCGCCAGAGGGCAGTAATGAGGGAGACACGCCACACAAGGAGCAAAGTCACACACATACACCGATCTCGCAGCCACCAGAGACATAGGTTAGACAACAGCTGCCTCCCTAGGTCACCTACGCAGAGCATAACATATACAGCCACAACAGGCTTCGGGCACAATAACGACCGCCTGGGCAACCTAAAACAATGGATGAAACCACCATCTGAGCGCACAGTCTATGCCCCACACCTACACAAAGAGGCTAGGCACAGGCAACACAACACTTACTGACACACAAGACGAGTACCCACCAATACCCCCACACGAAACGAGAAACTACACTCAAAGACTGGCCTTGTGCCTTAACGTCGACACCACCATGTCTCTCCGGTAGCAACTCCACCTACCTGCTTATCTCTAGCGCCACACCGCTGGATGAAAAACAACAAGTCTGCTGAAAATTAGCCCAAAGCCACAACAAGAACGAAGTCAACTTGATTTGTTAAGCACATACCTGTTAAAAACCCTTGAACCTAATGTAATTGCATGTTTTATCTGAAACGCCTCTGCACAGGCAATCATAAGCTTTCCATGAAACGAGAATGACTATGTGCTTGTATTTGCAACACAAAATAAAAATAAAACATTTAAAACAAAGTTTAGCCCATGTTTACACAGAAGGAGACAAATGACTAAATATCCAATGATATGGGCATGGTCCATTGTATCATTCTTTAGCAGGTATTGGGACTGTGGTTAAGAGTTATGGGCTGGGGTTTGGAGCAATGAATAGTGTGTGTAATTAAGGGTTAGAAGTTAGATTTTATTATTTTAATAGTAAATGAGAATGACAATGGCAAAAACAGCTTTGAGTGTCTATTTTCGTTTCTCTGTATCCAGTAACTAGCCTTGCATGTCTTATAATTAATGCACTAATTGCAATCAGTTTAAACGTTTATCTTCAGAAATCCCAACTAAGTTTTCTTTCAGTTTGTCTTTTTATTTAAATTCATTTTTTTTATAATCTTGGATAATACTAAAGCTCACAAGGTCTGTAAAATGTTTGGTTTGACTACATGTGGGTGCTGATAAATTGTATTTCTTAAAATTTCCATTTAGGGAAGTAAAAATAAGAGATTGGAAATTCTTATTTCAGTGTATTTATTGTGCTTAGTGTTGGTTAAGAAGAAATGTTGTTCTTTTTGATCACCACCAGATGGCGCGCTAAACCAAATTAAAATCACTGCTCAAGTGTCACGCGTGTTTCCATATTTGAGTAGCTCTGTTTTATTAACCTACTCACTAACATGCACTATATGCATAAATAGTACATTTTAATAAAACCAAATATTATATTTGTGTATGTAAAAAAAATGAAAACCAGTTACTAAATTATGAATAAAGATCAGAACAGAATATTCATTACATTTCTTCCCTTATTCATAGATATGAACCTTCTCGGTCTCTCCTCTCTGCCGGTGACCTTCTCCTGTCCGCTGCTCGCACCCTTACTGCTAACTCGCGCTTGTAGGACTTCTTTTGGAACAGCCTGCCCACCCCCATCAGACTCTCTCCTAGTCTTCAATTGTCTAAGAAGTCCCTCAAAGCACATCTGTTCAGAAATGCTTATGGACTCCCAGAGTAACTTATCTATACTTACCCAAGTCTGTCTCATAGTCTCCTAAAGAGCCATACTCCACTCTGACGTCTAGCTCTGCTACTTTTCCACCTTGTTTGGTGGCTGTCACCCTTGCTGCCCTGTTGTGTATTTGTACCCCACCTCCTCTAGACTGTAAGCTCGTTTTAACAGTGCCCTCATCTACCTATTGTTCCCGTGTCACTGTGTAATTGTCTCATTTATTGTAAACTTCTTCCCTTTCATAATATTGTAACGCACTGCAGAATTAGTTGGCGCTACATAAATACCAATAATTATATTAATAAATAATTAGTAAGTAAATAACATTTTA